TGGCCAATATATTGCTCCATAATCCAAGCAGATGTTTCTCTTTTAGTCTAATGGAACTCTTGCAGACCCTATCCCTTCCCAAGAGAAAACATCAGCACAGTTAGAAGTTGGAAGGACTCATCTCAATAACAGAAGCAAGGTGCCAGCAGCATCATCAGCTGTTTATTAATAAAAATCCATGAACAGAAGAGCAATTGCATTTTGTTTTGGCATGTTAAAAAAAAAAAATATAAAATCCATCAAACCAGCAGCACACCCCACAGTTTTTCTTCTCTGCATGGCCCTCTTAGAAGTAGCATTTCTTTTTCCTATAGCAATTGACTTCTGAGTGAGAAAAGAGGAAATTAATCTCTTGCTGTTAGCTGTACTGTTGCTGTGTGTCAGTCACGAAAGGGGAAAGATCTCAATTTGTGTAAATAATCATCGTTAAAATTCACACATCACAGATGAAAATTGCCGTGTTGTAGCTATGTCGTACTGCAAAAGAAGGAATACTTTGTTATACATGAAGAGTGAAGACTGGTCTTGATTTGAATCTTATTCCAGAAGTAGCTCTACTAATATCAACCAATTTATGTTTGTTTCTGTCGCTGTAAGAAAAGATTAATGCTCATTATATTTGCTCTAGAAGATGAATGACAATGAACAGAACTAAGCTTCTATACTAGACTTTGAATAAGAATTGTTTCCAGTTCCTGGAAACATTCTCTTGGGACTTGTACATCCGTTTTTGTCCAGTCAATGGTACTGAGAGTTACTTGTGAAATAGTAATTAATGCCAAGGTTTTCTATCTTATGGAAATGTAACTTGGACCCTGGAGGGCTAAGTTTCATGGAAAGGACATTAAAGGCAGGGAAAATTGGGGAACAGTTTGTATTGCTTCATTGCTGTTTTTCAGAAGCAGTGGCAAAGGACTGAATCTCTTCTCTTGTTATGGCTGTTGGAGAAAGTGTTTTAAAATTCTGCAACGTCTTCGTAACAGAAATACCTCTATCTCTCTTTCTTTTTCATTTACAGTATCTAACATAGTTGGGTTCAAACAATAACTGTCTCCTACAATGCCTACATTTCTCCCTAGGGAGATATGATGAGGGTGCTCATGCTAAGAATTTCCTCTAGTGGCAAGAAGACAATAGTGAGGAGTATTAAGATGTTGGTGTCAGAATTCTGCTTTTCAAAGAATTTAGGGAAGGTAGAGCACCCAAGAAAACCTCACCATGAAATATGAACTGCTGCTCCTTTCAGCAGCCTGCGGTGGAGGTGTTGGGGCAACTTGCTACTCATTTTCTCTTGCCATTCATGTTGGGTTACAGGGCAGGGAGTGCTTATTAGCACTCAGATGTGTGGGTTCAGATAAGCAATAAGCACTACATTGTGACTACCAACATCATTTATAAGCTATTTTGTCCTAGTGAAATCTCTGTTTTGATGTTCAGGGAAAGAGTAGGGAAATAAGTAGTTTCCATTATAGTCCAATTGAAAGGGAAATAGCAAACAACACTGTATCCCACTTTTCATTGGCTGTGCAGAAGTGTTGGCTTTTAATAACATCTTCTTAAGATTATTTATATAGCCTATTTGCCATTATCCGTATCAGTTTATGCCCTTTGTGTGTTTTAGATAACATTGTTGTGTTTCCTTTGACTTAACATTTAGTGTGCTGTGAACTTGCCAATATTCAGAGTAGTTCTTGGGCTGCCTCTGTCTGATCCCTTCCATAAGCTGTTTATTAAGCAAGAATTCATTATTACAGATTGTAAATTGAGCTTTCACACTGGAGGTCTCTGTAGCTACATTTGCAGGTTCTCTTTACCTGTGCTTCTTCTGATTAAATTTATATCTGGTATTTAAATGCTGAGAAATCTTTCTAGAGTGCAAGGGAAGAATTCAGGCAAAGCTCAACATCTTTCCAACTGATTCTGAGAGACTGTGCAATGGCCAAATCCATAATTGCCTAAAGCCTGATCTTGTTCAGTTCTGGGATTTAGACTTGGCTTTCTCTAGAAAATTGGCCACCCACGTGAGCTGTAATCAGATCCAAATTTCTTATTTATTCTGCCTGCTGTATGGCTCTCCAGCCAGTTTTCATGCAAGATCCATGAAAATCCATTGAATACACTATTCAGAGCAGCCCACATCAGAAATACTTTTGAAGACCTTGGATGGGTCATGGGACACAATCATCCAAATCAAAAAAATGCGTACACAAAAAGGCTCAAGATACTATCTAATCACAACCAAACACTTGGGAAAACTGAATATGCATATTAACTGAATTGTTAATGACATACTGATGCTGATTGCTAATGATTAAAAAATGTAAGGATAAGAAAGAAAATATGTTTTCAAGCTCTCACACAGTCTAAGTACTTGCTGTACCTGCAGAAAGAGGTTCCTGATGAGGCAGGATGTAAACTATCACACTTATCCCTGCCTCTCTAAAAGTAAATATAAAATAAGTGCAACAAAGGCACAAAACAGCTCTTCTCAGGGTAGAAGCACCTATGAACCATCACCATGGCCTTTCTCCTCATTTCTGACTCCCCAGACATTTGGGAATTCAGCACCTGGTATGGGAATAGTACAGTCTTTTAAGATTTGTGAGGTTTAAGAAAGGTATTGCGGGTTTTTTCTCTCCTTCTGGATCTCATACTACACATGAATCTGATGGCCAAATCATAAATGTGAGACTGCAGGATTTTGATTTGTACTGACAGTGAGGCACATGGATTTTGTTTGGGATTGCTTGGTTTTGTTGTTTTAGGTTTGTTTTTTTTTGTTTTGTTTTGTGGGTTTGTTTTTTTTTTTTCTGAGGTTACCCAAGAAGTTACTTCTCTCTTTTTAGGACCATAGAAGTGAGTTAGGCTGCTCTGGTGTGGTAAAAACTAAGAAGGACAAGAACTGTTTGAAGCAGTCCTGTGCATTGCCTCCTGATAGTCACCTGGACCCAAAAAGTAGCCACAGGCACAGTATGTTGTGCTGAATGCACTGTAGTCATGCAACAAACCTGTCTATTGCCTCTCAGCGTGCTGGTAAAGGCAACTGTGTGCAATACACTTGCACTGACAATGCCCATCCTTCAGGTGACACGATAGCTGGGGCATATGGCACTGAGCTAGGACTGAACTAGGGGAGCAAAAGGGTAGCAGAATGGTGACACAGTTTTTAAGAAACACAAACAGCATGTGCCATGTACCAGTTCAAATCTAGACAGAGAGCAACGTTGCTAGAAGTTGCAGGTGGGCATTTGCAGTAGAAAATGAGGGATTCCACTAACACCTGTCACTGAACCATGAAGGAAGAGCAGCAGAGAAGGAAGGTGGTATCAAGGGCTGTGGAAGGAATAACTGACATTGGAGAAGCCCACCAGGATAACTAACAAGAGTTCTTCGGCAACAGATGACAGCTAAATGATCTTTTAAGTTTTGCTTTATGTTGTACAAGCATAATGTTTATTCATAGATGCATTTTCACAAATCAGTTCTGTGATCCTTTCCTCTTAATAAAATTGTAGATATACATGCAGATCTTCTGAGATCTGTTTGTACAGTCAAGGAAAGGTGTTTAGTATTTTCTGAAGGCTGAGTGGGGTTTTGAAACAACAGTGCTCATGACTTTAAAAGGAAACATAGATATGTAATTAGGCCTCTTTTTCCTTTTCACTTTCAACCTTTTGCTGATCGCACCTATCTTCTTTCACTAAACATAAATGCCTTATTGCCATCCTGAAGGCTCTTCACAGTTATTTCTCTTGTCTTTTGCCTAGAAATTGCCCAGAAACATTCTGAAGATTCCTTAGCATCATATGCAATTGCTATCTGAGTTTTCCTTCTACTTTGCCTTTATGTCTTAAATCTGGAGGAAGATGCCCAGCTCTGCATCCAGTATAATCCAGCAGGGAAATCTAGACTTTCTCATGTCAGAGTACCTGCTTAAAAAATCTTCAATTTCTGCATGCCACATTCCTTTCTCCAGACATTATGAGCATTGACCTTGCTCTTCACTGACTCCTGCCGCCATTCTCTGTCTTCACAAAGTCAATACACTTTTTCAGACTGCAATTAGTAGCATATCACTGACCTCTGCCATGCCAAACTCCACCTCTACCTGTCCCCATTTCTGGTGCTTTTCAGTATTATTCCTGTGCGCTCTGATACACCTCACTATTTTTTTCTTTTAGAACAGTGACTGTCAGAGTCACTTATGCCAATCTCCAGTTATCAAAACCTCATGTTATATATACGTTGCTTTTTTTCCTATCTAATCCACTTGAAAGGCTGTTTCAGGATTTCTTCTTTCCAACAGTTGATGAATAATTTATAGCCTACATTTATTTGCAGCTGGTATATACACTCAGGTTTCAATTTGTCCTATACATTTAATAGCTCTTAGTAGCAAAATATTTACAGACATATCCCTTAAAATAACTTTTTCATAGCCTAGACAATTCAAGACTTTGCTGTTTTCTTTTAAAATAGACTTTCTATTTCCTTCCTTATTCTGAAGGACTTTGTCTGTACCTGTTACAGTTTGGATTAATATTTACTGAACATGAATGACCATACATGGGAATTACTACTATGCCTCAGTTTATTTATCAAGTAAACTCCAACTTCCCTTAATCCATCTTCAACTCATTTCATTTTCTCCCACAGCTACAATTCCCGGTCTTCTCTGTCTCAATCAGAGTCTCTTTACTGAGCCATTCCTGTCTGATTAGTTTCTAAATTGACATGCTAATATCCAGGTGTTGTTTTCCTCTTTAGTCTCAATACCTGCCTTCACCCCTTTGACACAGTTTTCATTCTTCTCTATTTACATCAGGTTTAACCAAGTCAAATTCTGAGGTGCAAAAAAGGTGGTTGTCAAAGATCCAAAGCTTTCAGGTGAGGTGAATAAAGCTTAATACATCAACAGTACTGCATTCCTGTGCCCTCACCTGCAAAATGTCTAGTGGGGAGTGATTATTTAAGAAACTGATTTGGTAAAATGAAACAAATTTCTTTTAAGCTTCTATTAACTGGGAATTTTCAACTGGCTATAATCTGGCCAAATTGGGTGAATCTTCAGAGGGTGAATAAATGATGAATGTAAATAGCTGCCTTTTTTTCCTGTGTCAGAATTGCTGCTCCTAAGCATAAGAACAGTATCTACTTTTTGGAAAAAGGTAAGTAGGCTGTTCTTAAAGAAAAAATAAACCTCATTTTCTTTTGCTCTAATTTTTAGTAATGATTGAACCATTTTGGCTGAAACCTTACATTTTCCCTTCCATTAAGCTAAAGCAAAAAATCAGTCTGAGGCAGAAAATGAGCCTGGAAGCTTTTAACCAGAACAGTTAGTTTAGTAATTTTGGAAGTAATGGGAAACAGTGTTCAGTGAACTTTAATAATGTAGGTAGTTCCTATTTTACTTATAACAAAAATAACAAAATGTGGAGTATGTGTGTGTGTTTCATTAAATGCAGTAAGTTGCAGTCCCTACTATTTTACTATGTAATGTAATGATTATTGTATATTTAAATACAAGAAATATGCTGAAACTTACTGGAAATCATAAGAGCCTGCTAGCTTTCAAGGTGTTTTAGTTTAATAAACCACTTCTATAGGACATACTGGATAGCAAAATTGGATACAGTTCATAAAACAATCTGTTTTAAAAAATGCTATCTCCTCAGAGCAAAAGGCTGGAGGGAAAACAAGAATTTCAGCTTCTGTTTTTGGGTCTGCCATGGATTTCCTGTGAATGAGGACAATAATTTAGCCTTCTGTTTTCATTTGCTTTATCTTTAAACACTTCTCTATACATAATCCTTTTTCCTCCTCTGTTGCTTAAAAGTGCTTCTAGAGCCAGGATTTTTCTTTAGATTGGCCTGTAACTTGCATGCCTGTTGGTCCTATTTTTTTCTCTTGGCTGTTGGCAGAATTTTAAATACTACTGACAGCTAGTTTTTTCCTAAACCTATTCCAATTCCACATGACAAAGTGCTTGGCTCTAAATTTTGGTTTAAAGCTGTCCTTTGTAAAGAAACATAATCCATTTTTGGGGAATCACAGAAGTGAAACTTTACTGATCTTGGGTTCTTTCACTAGCCTGACTGGGGTAGCATATATTTTGAACTTTCAGTGTTAGTGACTGGTATTAGTTTATTCCTTGCTTCCAGACAATAGACAAATATTTTATTAATTTTCTGCAGCCTCTGTGAACCTTCAAATTTGCTTGCCATAATAATGTTTATTAACACGACTCTGTGGCATACATTCTTGGAATACTCAGCTGATTGCTGATCCTATAAATTGATGCTTGATACTCATTGTGAGATGCGCAATCCTATTCAGTGTGTGCCAAGAGCTAATGGGCTGGATGAAAGGGCTTTGTCCAACTCTTTCACCAGTCTTCAAATACCAAGTTGTTCAGTATGCTTATATAGAGATAATTCAGCCTGATGCGTTCAGACAGGCACCACAGGAATCTGAGATCACAAGAAACTCCCTTCCATGGTCCTTCTGTAAGGATCTGCATGTTGATTTAGCTAAACCAGAAAGTAACTAGTTCATGTGTATATGATTAAATGTCTTTGATAAGCTATTTTATAGTACACTACAGTAAATTACCTCCAGTAGTCTGGAGTAGAGTTAGAAAACAGCAACAAGAGGGAAGATGTGTATGGTTTCCCATCCCCATTTTGACTTGCTAAACCTGACTAATTGGGCCTTTTGCTGTCTGTATGTGCACTTTCCTTACAGATGAGACCTCCTTTGGGCAGCAAACACTCCCATTAGGAAAGCAAAATTCATGGCTTAATGAAACAGAGCCATGTTGACTGAGATGCCATAACATGATTTGATTTTTCAGTAGACAGGTGAATTTCCCATGGCCTCAGAGTCCTGTTTAACAAATACACCTTGCTCCAAAGCCATGTGATAAAAACTAAAAAGTATCACATTTATCTGAATGTTTCATCAGGGGCAATCTGAGCATTTAAGCTTCTCTTGAGGAGGAGGAAAGCTCTTTTGCTGTCTTTTCAAGAAAAACTCAGGAACCTTGCATGAGTGTTTCCAAGACTTCTGAAAACACTAGAAACCATGTGGGGCTTGCTGGTTTATTATAGTGCTTCAAGGCTTGTAGCCTGGAAGCTGGGATCTGACGATTTATTTCTTCCTCTATCCTGCTTCATATGCTTTTTTAATTTGTCAAGCTTTTGCTTTTCCTCTCATTTCCTGTTGCTGACCAAAATGGAAGATGTCACTGTGGCAACATGCAAATACATGGTTCATCCACACTTTGAGTAATGGCTACATTACTTTTCCTTCATATGATAGAAGGATAGAACCATAGAATAGTTAGGGTTGGAAAGGACCTTAAGATCATCTAGTTCCAACCCCCCTGCCGTGGGCAGAGACACCTCACACTAGACCATGTCACACAAGGCTCTGTCCAAACCGGCCTTGAACACTGCCAGGGATGGAGCATTTACAGCTTCCTTGGGCAACCTGTTCCAGTGCCTCACCACCCTCACAGGAAAAAACTTCTTCCTTATATCTAACCTAAACTTCCCCTGTTCATTTAAATGAATGAAAGACTAAGCAAGTGCTGCTGCATATTCCTTAAGCCATAAGACTGCAGCTGATAGGAGCTGTCAGTATTGCTGGACTCCAAAAAAAAAAAAAGTGATTTGAAAGCCAAATTTTCATGCTTTATTCTTGTCAGATGAAAAATAGCCTTTTAAGTTTTCTAAAATTGTTAGAAGAAAAAAAAAAATAGTCTTTCAAGTTTTCTAAAATTCTTGAAATTACTTAGATTGCTGCTGTGTTTGTGAATTGGATCCAATTATTGTGGGCTGTTAGGCTACTTGTCTTTGTCTTATCATTTTCTTCTTGTTGTTATAATGACCTGAATAAGTAGTTTTAAATAGTGCTGAATTAAAAATGAGTTTTTTAATTAAGCCAGCTAGGTTGAATAAATAACAATAAACTACAAATACAAAACCAAAAATTAGTCAAATATGAAGTGATGAATCGTTCGAAGTGTAGAACACCATACTCGTTTCAATACGACTGTACAGAAATGGCAACTTGTAAGCAGAACTTCCTGTGAAAGTACCTTGGCATTATCATCATTTTTAGGAGTTTCAGTTCCAGTATTCCTGTATTTTTAATACATATATACATATTGTAGACATTAGGGATGGTCACTATACCTTTGAAAATGACTTTCAGGACATTTAAAAGCAAAACTCATCTTCAAAGCATTTTCAGCTACATTTGCACAAAGGAAAGTATGAAAACACTTAAAGCTTTGTAAAATGCACCTGTTTTGAGCACTTCAGAAAAAAGTATCCTTTCTTCTGCCTTCCAGAACAGGATTTCGCTACTACTACTCTAATCAGCTGCTGCCATTTTCGTGTATTGCTGTTTTGATACCTGTGCCTCAGGTACCTATACATCAGTGCCACCTGTGTTTATCATAGGGCTCTGTGAAGCTGACTGGTGCAGAGGGACAATGTTTGCTGGAGGGTGGCAATGACCCAGCCATTTACTGACAGCAGCAGGTGACACCAAGTGACCATCCCTAATGTCTACAATATGTATATATGTATTAAAAATACAGGAATACTGTAGCTTTGAAGCAGCTCTAATTACCACTGTGCAGTAATCAGACAAGTTGCTTCCAGGGTACATAATTTCCGATTTTTTTTATTAATATTATATTTTGAAGTGCACTGGTCTGAAACCTGTAGAGCAGTGGTTATGCCTGTTACATCCTGCTCTCACTTCTTTGATGCAGGTGAAAGCACCAAGCCACTGGAATGTGCAGGATGTATATTTCAGCTAGGGAGGAATGAATTTCTTTGGATAACAAGAAGTAGATTTGACCTTTTAAATTGTGATTTAGGAATTACTTTCCAGAGAAGGAATAAAGGAACTTGAGGCTACTGGCAGTCAAATAAGGTGCCATACACCTTTCTTGGACTTGCAGCATTCATAGAATAGTTAGGGTTGGAAAGGACCTTAAGATCATCTAGTTCCAATCCCCCTGCCATGGGCAGGGACACCTCACACTAAACCATGTCACACAAGGCTCTGTCCAACCTGGACTTGAGCACTGCTAGGGATGGAGCATTCACAGCTTCCTTGGGCAACCCGTTCCAGTCCCTCACCACCCTTTACAGTAAAGAACCTCCTCCTTATATCCAATCTAAACTTCCCCTGTTTAAGTTTTAACCCGTTACCCCTTGTCCTATCACTACAGTCCCTAATGAAAAGTCCCTCCCCAGCATCCCTATAGTCCCCTTTCAGGTACTGGAAGGCTGCTATGAGGTCTCCACACAGTCTTCTCTTCTCCAGGCTGAACAGCCCCAACTTCCTCAGCCTGTCTTCATAAGGGAGATGCTCGGTGCTCCAGTCCCCTGATCATCCTCGTGGCCCCTCTCTGGACTTGTTCCAACAGTTCCATGTCCTTTTTATGTTGAGGACGCCAGAACTGCACACAATACTCCAAGTGAGGTCTCACAAGAGCAGAGTAGAGGGGCAGGATCACCTCCTTCAACCTGCTGGTCACTCTCTTTTTGATGCAGCCCAGGATATGGCTGGCTTTCTGGGCTGCAAGCGCACATTGTTGGCTCATGTTAAGTTTTTCATTGACCTCATATGCTTTTCTTTTATTGCTCAATGTCAAATGTTTTGGGTTTGTGTTTTCCTTTGTTTTGTTTTGTTTCGTTTTTGTTTGGGGTGGGTTAGGGTTTTTTTTTTTTTTTTTTTTTTCTTTTGAGTTGGAAATCTTCAGCTGAAATCTCTGTTTAAGGAGATTTTTTTGCTTTGTTTAGTTCATAGAATGGAGTCCTAGAATCATGGAATGGGTTGGGTTGGAAGAAACTCTAAAAATCAGCTAGTTCCAACCCTCTTACACTACACCAGGTTGCTCAAAGCACCATCCAACCTGGCCTTGAACCCCTCCAGGGATGGGTCATCTACAACTTCTCTGGGCAACCTGTTCCTGTGTCTCAACGCCCTCACATGGTGAATGACTTTTTCTTTGATATCTCATCAAAATCTACCCTCTTTCTGTTTAAAGCCACCCCCCCTTGTCCTGTCACTACTTGCACTTGTAAAAAAAAAAAAAAAAAAGTCCCTCTCCAGATTCCTTGCAGGCCCCTTTATTTATTGGAAG